GTATTTTTTGCATAATGTCAGTGTGTGTTATTGCACTCGAATGGCTTCCTGCCTGCGGCGCGGCCGTAGATGCACGTACATAAAAACCCAGAAAATCTTAGTATGTATGAAATAAAAAAATTACACCACGAAAAGTGCCTGAACGATTTTTATTCACTCGTTGCTACGCACCAAAAAACTCACTCGTTCGCTGCGCTCACTCGTTCGTTTTTTGGTGCTGCGCAACTCGTGAATAAAAATCGTTCCTGGCACTTTCCGTGGAGTAATCTCTATTTTTTTGATATCTCATTCGAAAAAAACTCCTAAAAATCTAGGTTATATCAACATTTTAGAAAAAGTTTATATTTCTAACACATGAAAAAATAGATTTTTGTAGGGGTTTTTGTTCGACTTTATGACATTTTTTAAGAGCACCGAAACTACAAAATATGACAAATCGATGTATCTCTCACAGTTATTTCAACATCTGAGGTGTTCATTTCAGCGTCATAGTTTTCTGTTGAATCACTATTCATAGTCAAACATCACACAACAACACAAATATCAATCATATTTTACTGACTTTATCCCCGGAGGGGGGACTCCGGGAAAAAAGTACCGGGGATGCTCGTCGTATCTCTTAGGGGTAAAGATTCGCGATTTGGTATCTTTTAGGGTGTTAAATGCGAATTTTTGAAAATCAGCATTTTCTGCTATCTCTTAGGGTGTCGGAAAAGGAGAGATGCGTGCATCGATATGGCTTATCCTAGGCGCTTTTTATAGGCCAGATGCCTAGTGTAAGAAGAATAGTTACTACTCGAGGAAACTTAGGGGTTATGGTATCTCTTAGGGGTTAAAAATCATTCAGCCACGCCATTTTTTAAAGAATTCCGGTATCTTTTAGGGGTCTTTTTGAAAATTTCCGACGAGCATCCCAGGTACTTTATTCCCGGAGTCCCCCCTCGGGGATAAAGTCAGTAAAATATGATTGATATTTGTGTYGTTGTGTGATGTTTGTACTTACACTTGTAATACCGCTTGCATTTCACTAAAACAATATTCAAAAACCTTTACAAAGGCCAACTGATAAAGAAATTATGTATTTTGCAATAATAAATTTGTGTCTTATTCTTGTAAAGTTGAACTGAATGTAAACACGTAAACTTTATTTGTCGAAAACTCGATCGTGAATTCCATAAGCTTATTTAAGGACGTTCATGTTCAATGTTCGGGCGCATACTTTC